ATTAGACCAATAGGGAGCTTCAAACCCTGATCCCCACCCCCTGATCCTCCTCCCCAGAATAAATCTAACTCATGTTGTATAGCTTTGTGTAATAACCAGTTGGGAAAGTTTGCTTGCTAACTTAAAAACAGGCTTAAAACAGGGTGGAGTTCTTGTACGTAATTACACGGTTTCTAAAACACTGCTGTTCTATCATGGGAAAGAATCCTGTAACTTTGATTTCTACACTGGCATGGCTTCCCTTGCAATTTTTTAGTGCCCCCCAGCAGTTTCAGAGAATAGCTTCCAAATACACAGTAGAAAGGTGTTGCTTTTTGGAAGTCTCATCCACCAAGGTGTGGCTTCATCCAGCCCTGGCTTAAGGCAAAAGCACACAACAAGTTTTAACATCTCTTCTAGAAATTTTTTATGCTGATTCAAGTCTTCAGTGTTTAGCTTTCACCATGTGCTATTTTCTAAACTCTTTTAAACCAAATAACAGAATGGGGGAGGGGAGATAATTGCCCAAGTTATATAAGTTCTAAATAAACATGATCATCAAATGTAGTATATTGTACTGTCACTGACAGAGAGTTTCATTGTCCAAAAGGTAACACATGAAAATATGATGCTATAATTCTTTATATCGCAATACAATATGCTGCGATACAGTGTGGTGTTAGGCCTAATAAGTATTAGCACAAGAACCTAAAAGGAGTGTACTGTAGCACAGTAGATTGCAATAGAGCATGGTTCTCTAAGTCATCCCTTATGTTTGTTTGTCTATCTGTTTTTTGCATTATCCTCTTCTTTATTTCAGTCCTGCTCAATCCCCCTTCCCACCCTTGTTCTGCTTATATTTCATCTCAGTGCCTTAAGATCCTGGTTAGCCAAGGAAGAAAAGAAAGAAATGACTTCAGCAGTAACTGAATTACTCCTCATCAAAATGTTATTAATTTTCCTCCATTTGTCACTTGCATCTAGACGTAAGTAAACCCTTCTTAGTTTTAACTATCTAAGTTTAACAGCCTTTTCAATACAGTACTATGTCTGTAAGCTGCAGCTTCATGAATGCGACTATTCTGACTGGTTACATGGTACAAAAGTGGAATGTGTTTCATTTGGCTTAGGCTTTAGATGAATAAATGCCACACCTTAGGAGTGTCTATGGGAGAGTTGACATGCATGCCTAGGCAGATACATCACACCACTTTGTTCACATAGAAAAACCCATCCCAGTTTACAGTATCTCCCTCTTCTTTATTGCTTTATACTGCAGGACATTTGATTTGTTTGATCTATCGTTTTCATTTAAAAATTATATTGTCTTTCTCTGCAAAACACCATTGTCCCAGAGTGAGATGTTATCAGTGTTTATTTCTTTTACTTTTGAAATAATTATCTGATTTTTTTTATTGGTGAAATAATGGCTTTTCAGGCCTAATCTTAGTTTAGACAATTTTATTCTATCCCACTCCAATCACCTCAGAAATAATATGAAGAGAAATGGCATTCCAATTATAACACACTGTTCTAAAATTATGTCCATGAGAGCCTGCATATGTAATGGAGATGTTTTAAAGTTTAGTCAGATTGAACTTTCAGGGGATTTAAATCAAGCTGATCGTATTTTCAACTGCTATCTTTTGTACAATACAGCTTTCTGTCAGTGACAATATAATATACTATACTTGGTGATCATGTAAATATGACTTTAAAGTAATATGTACTCCTAATGGTTCTGCGTCAATTTCTCTTCTGAGATCTACATAACTATGGCCTGCCACTCATCCAAAGGGTGGTGCAGCCATGGCTCAACTCAACTGGAAAGAAACTCCCACACTCTTCAAGTCCTACTCAGTCTAATCATCACTGTCACATTAGTGTGTGAGGTGCAACTGGAAAGGGTGGGTACATTAGGAAAAGCAAAAGGCCATGGAAATGGTTCTAGCTACTCACATCCCGTATTGCCTGACTTACAAGTGATGAGCTAGACCAGATTGAAGTGTCATTGATCCAGTCAGTCATCAGAGTAAAAGAAATCTTCTGTTTCTCTTCCCAGTGCTGACTTACTCCATAATTCTGATGAAAGCAAGTAAGATCCTGCAGAAGACACTATTTGCTGTGCCTTGTGTGTTCACCAGTTCCTAGATACGTTAAATATATAGAGCCTAGTAGTCCCATTGTGTCCCTTGTTGTTGTTTTACTTACATGTATGGTATTCAGCTTTGTTCGGGTATTTTCCCACGTCACTGTAGTTGTGATTTTAAAGTTGTAGCAACGTTTCAGCAGAATCTCATCTGCCATCATCAGGCTTCTGTATTGTGTTCGCCTAATGATGGCAGATGAGATTCTGCCGAAACGTTGCTACAACTTTAAAAGCACAACTACAATGACGTGGGAAAATACCCGAACAAAGCTGAATGCCATACATACATACATACATACATACATACATACATACATACATACATTGCACATATATCCTACAGCCATGCTGTGTATTTTTCCAAATAACATCACTCAAGAGTCTTTTGTTTCATCTTGCAACTTATTTGTTAGTATGTTTTGTTTCCTAGGCTTGACCTAAGGCTTTTAAATTCTCACTAGTGAACCCTGTCATTGGCCAACTTATTGGGTAGACACATTCTCCCTAGCAGAGATTGAGTGCAGACCATAAATCCTCTATGTAGTTTCCAGGTTAGAGTCTGAAATCCACTAGGCTGAAGAAAGGAATAGGTGGGGCTTGGGTACAATGCAGGTAGAAGGAATACACATAGCCCTTGATTCTTCTCAGAAAAGACATCTTCAACATTTTCAATTTCATTTTTCTGCAGCTTATGGGTTAACAAGGGTTTTGATGGCTAGATTTAAGTACACCCAACCATCCACCTTCTATTGATATTGGGCAAAATTAGTTCTTTAGAAAGAACTAATCTGCATCTACCTATATGATACAAATCGATTTAAGAAATTAGGATGAGGATTTACAGAGTGAACGCAACCTCCTTGAAATACTTCCCTTGATTTTCTGATACCAGTTGACCTGGCAATAATGCTGAGTTTTGCCAAGAGATACTTCTTTGCTGCTTTAAATCGTTCTTTATTCATCTCCTAAGGGAAGGGGATGGAATCCCAGATCTGAGCTATATTTAAGACACTGTTAACATTCAATTCCATGAAGGCCGATGGGTTTTTCAGTCTTACCTTAAGCAGTCAATGTTTAGAGCTCTGCTAGGGAACTGCCCAATATACTAAAACATTTTTGGAATGGCTGAACTTTTAACAATAATTATAGCCTCTGTGTGCTAATCTATTTTCTGAATCTTCAACAAATTTGCATCTCTCATTTGATCGGGACAGTATACTCAAATACTTAAGTTGTTTGTGTTGTTTATTTTAATTTTTAAGGCATTTAATAGTATTTAGTACCAATCCTACAAATTCTTTTACTCATTAAGCAACAGACAAAAAAGTTTTATTAACTAATTTTAATAATATCACATTCTTTTGAGCATGTAATTAAGAAACATGGAAAATTATGCCAAAGCACAATAGATGGTTTTGAGTTCAACTTGCCACTGTAACTATTGATTTAACTTTTAATTAAACCTTGAGCATTATGCAGAACATGGAAGCTACACAATTCCTACGGCTTACAATCTAAGACGACAGCATTATGTATTTTTACTTGGGAATAAGGTTTGAATTAAGAAACAAGTCTATAGGACAGGGTGGGTAACCATGGCAACTTTATGATTTGTGGTGTTTAACTGGACTTTAAGCCAGCCATGCTGGCTCAGGAATTCTGGGAGTTGAAGTCCACAGGTCATAAAGTTGCTATAATTGCCCACACTTGCTGTTAGTGGTCAGAATATGTGGTAAAAGAAATGAGTATCAGCTACCTTTAGTATAGTAGATAATGTATATATGTACATTTTCTGACTTCTCTACGCCTATGCAGTACAATTGTCCTTTCAGTGTTATGATGGATTGTGTTGCTTTTATCAGCGCATGTAAACAAAATATTACAAAAGAATTGCCCCTGTAAAAAAAATAATGAGCATATTTGGGCAATTATCCATGCATTACAAAAGGCTATGTATTTACACTTTAAAACAAGTAGGCAAAACTAAGATATGCTAATACAAAAATACAGCTGGAACTTCAGCAAACTCTTCTGAAGGTCAGATCTGAGAACATCTAATAGCAGATTACTGTTTATTGTAAACAAGTTTGGAATGTAATAGAATTGCCTTTAAAATGTGCAGGCCAAATATTTTTGTTAAAACTAAGAGAAATTAGATGGGTGTCAAGTTTTTTCAGTTACGGTGGGAACATAAATTGTTCCCAACCTCTTCTTAACTAAACAATTTATACACTTCATGCAGTCTGTTCTGGCAAATAACGCTTTCTGGTACATAAATATTTTCCATGTTGGCTTCATTTATCTCATTCTTGTTAATAAAGATGTTATAGCCTAAATTTGGAGATATATATATATATTTCTGAGGTTCTCGCAGGTATTTGTATGTGAATCTTTGGTTATTCAGGTTTTCTCCCACGTAAAATTGGAAGTATCTAGGCAACGTTTCGATGAAGTCTCATTCATCATCTTCAGGCTTGTGTCTTCGGCTTTGTGCTTACTCTGAGAAGCACAAAGCCGAAGACACAAGCCTGAAGATGATGAATGAGACTTCATCAAAACATTGCCTAGATACTTCCAATTTTACGCGGGAGAAAACCCGAATAACCAAAGATCCACATATATATATATATTTTCACGGGTACAGGTATGTAGGTCTAGGTGTGTTCAGGTCTTTTCCCATGTAAGATTAAGAGTAACTTGGCGACATTTCGGCGAGGTCCCACTCGCCATCCTCAGGCTAGTACCTTCCTCACCAAAATGTCACCAAGATACTCTTAATCTTACACGGGAAAAGACCCGAACAAACCTAGACATACATACATACATACATACATACATACATACATACATATATATGCAAACAAAGCATGTGCTTCAATACTGATGTTTCATTAGAACAACACAGATTCCAAAAACTTTCAGTCACCATAATTAAACATCCAATTCTGAGAGATGCAATCCCAATACCTCTGCAGTTAACAGGTTGGAGAAGACAAGCTTAATACCTATTAGCAATAATGCAATCAAGAAGGGTCTTTTTTTAAAAAAAAATTGTTTTCTGAAAGTATATCTATCTAGAGGATTGAATATAAACAGGCTTTAGCAAGATTTCTCTCACACTAAGGAATGAAGCAGTTGGCATTAATTCATCTTACCCCCTGCAGGCTTTTGAACCACTTCCCTAAAAGTGTGCCTCCAAAAGATTGGGACCAGCCTGCAGAGTAATATAGAAGTTCCTGGAGATCACAGGAGGAAGTCAATACTGATTATAAACAAACACTGTAAATCAGTGAATGTTTAATTAAGGCAGTTCAGTTATTATTTGCCTATAAAAACTCACGGTTAAAAAAAGTTGTTTCAAAAAATAAATTCACTTTAACAAGAATTGAGAGCAATTCTCATTCATATTTTTTTTTTTGAGCTGCTAAACCTCTATTATTCTAATTCTTGCATATTGGACTTGAGCTGATACTGTAGGTATGTCTGTATACTTCTTTGGACCAGGGACTCCCTATGATGACCCTGCTGCTTTTTCTAGGAGATTTTAATAAAATTCAGGTTTGACATTTCCCAAAATATGATCTTCATAGAGGGGGAGACAACAAAAGAAGAATCCAAGACCTATTGCCATGATGCACATGGTCCACCCAAATCCATAGCTCCAATCAAATACATGTACGGTATTTACTGGGAAGACCACACGTGTTGAAATCATTACAGCATAGATGACAAGGCCCATTAATGAGAATATGGCTGCAAAAAATGAAAAGATTAAAAATTAGTTACTAACACATGAAAACAGTAGGAACAGTAATTTTTTTTTTTAATGGCGTTTTGGGAGAATTCTGACTCCTGCAGAATACAAACTCCTATGGTAGTTTATATTCTATTTGCCCAACCTATCTAATATTGTGGTTATAACATCAGACAGATTATTTATGCAGTCCAGTATTTGGCAGCATCGTAAGATCCAGCCTTGTAACTTGAGACCATTTTTAAATAAAGAGGCTAAGGGTTAACTGGAAGCAAAGCATGATATTTACCACTAAGCTACAATCAGTGGCGGATTAAGGCTCAATGGTGCCCTAAGCACTGACAAATCTTGGTGCCCCCCTCCTTTTGAACATACAAGATTTTTTTTTACAAATCTTCATTGGTGCTTTTTTCTTTCTCAACTTTGTGGTGCCCCTTTGGGCCTGGTGCCCTAAGCACATGCTTAGTCTGCTTATACCTCTGGCTACAGTCCTTCCCTATTTCAAGATGTGAAGCTCTGACAAGAAATATCACAGAAATGGTGGTGTGAGATTCTGAATCAAAATTTACACTAGAATAACGAAGGTAAACATACAATTTAGTTGTTCAGCATTAAAGATGATGTACAAAGGGTAACTTTTGAGTCATGTTTATGTAGAATTACTCACAGGATGAGCAGAAATTTAGAATGCTTGTGAATCAACTAAAATAAAATAAATTAGGGTTCTAGAATGTCATACATATATCAGAAAAATCAGGAGAGGCTGGTGATCAATTCAAAAAAATTTAGGAAAAGCAGGACAGTTCTTTTTAGATTCTCTTTCCCTGCCCTCTGTTTCAGGTTATGGATATTGTCTTGTTCCCTGGTTTAAAATGAAATAGCAATAGCACTAGTAATAGCACTTAGACTTATATACCACTTTGCAGTGCTTTGCAGCCTTCCCTAAGCAGTTTACAGCCTTCTCTAAGCAGTTTACCAAGTCAGCATATTGCCCCCAACAATTTGGGTCCTCATTTTACCCACCTCGGAAGGATGGAAGGCTGAGTCAACCTAGACAATGCTTGTACTTTTTAAAAATAATAATAATGCTACGATTTATTATTTTCTCCATTGGTTATGACAGAGTATCATTGCTATTAGTCTGCTTTTATGAAATACAGGTAGTCCTTCACTTACAACGATCATTTAGTGACTGTTCTAAATTACAACAGCACTGACCATATGACTTATGACCAGTTCACACATTTATGACTGTGCCATAAATGGTCACGTGATCAAAATTTGGACGCTTGTCAACTGACATGTATTTATGTCAGTTGCACTGACCCGGGGTCATGTGATCATCATTTGTGACCTTCTCAGCCAGCTTCTGACAAGGGGAGGAGCCAGATTCACCTAACAACTGTAAAGATTTGCTTAACAACTGTGGCAAAAATTATCATAAAATGGGGCCCTGACTCACTTAAGAAATGTGGTTGTAAGTTGAGGTCTTTCTATACTGCTGTTCTGTTGAGTTTCCTGAGAAAATTTGAAATGGCACAAATTAAGTCTGCTGGGTGGGGGATTGGACTTGATCAGGGGTCTCCAACCTTAGCAACTTTTAGACTTGTGGATTCAACTCCCAGAATTCCTCAGACAGCAAAGCTGGCTGAGGGATTCTGGAAATTGGAGATCCCTGGACTAGATGACCTACAAGATCCCTTCCAACTCTGTTACTCTGTATCCGTATCTGTAAATCTTTTCTTCATTCTTATACTGCTATTTTCTTACCACCATAGAAATAGCTAGTGTCTCTCCCAGAAGTGGGATCCTACCTGTTCCACTACTGGTTTGGTGATCGCCCACACATATGTGCACCCTTAACTCACACATGCAGCTTTCCTCACACCAGCTGAGGCCTGCAGTGCCAATCAGCTGAGAGGATAAAGAAGAGAAAAGCACGAGGGCGGGTGAGAGGGCCGATCCTCCACGTTTCCCTTCTTTCTCCTCACAGCTGATTGTCAGAGGCCTTTTGACTTCCTCTCAGCTGATCCTCGGAGGCTTTTTTATACTACCAGATACCACCAGTGGTCTCTCCAAACCAAATCTGCTCTGCCATATTTTACAATATTTTATTTCTTTTGCTTTGTATACGTAGCCTTACCAGCAACAAAACACAAGCCTCCTATGCCTCTAATGAAGTTGAAGCGAAGTGTCGGGATGGCAAAGGCAATGATGGACAAGGCAAAGCAGATGCAGATGAGTACAAATCCAACTAAGAAGGTACCAGCTGCACCTCTACCCCAAGCTGGAAATAAAAACAGAAAACAATGGTTCCATCCTTTATGCCTGGTCCTGGCAAGATACAGATCTAAAATATCATTCAGTCATTCAAGAAGGTAAGGTAGGGTGTACATCCATTTATCCATGTTTTATGTCATAATGGTTTATCAAATAAACCACAAATGGATGAGTTCACATACATTAGTAAGGCATTTGCCATGGCTTTCCAGACGTAATAGCTGGGTTTCCATGATCTGCTAAACGAAATCAAGTGGCTCAAAATGCTTTGTGAACTCCAGTCATTACATCCATATAGTTTCATCTGCCAGGGGCAGTTATTTAGTGGAACAGGTTCTTTGATTTTAAAGCGGCTACAGTTTTAGAGTAAGCCAATGATAGGCATTCATTTTTTCCAGGCAAACCTTTTCAGTTAGGCACCATATCTTTGTCTCTATTAAATAAGGCTTTCTGGGTTATTTTAATATTTCAATAACCTGTTTGAACAGGAATGACTGTGGGACGCGTAAGCAAATTATTTCTGGTTCTCATAAAATCTCTTTCATGTCTTGCCATTAATGAAGAATTGACAGCCATAGTGACATTGAGTTATATGGACCAAAAATACAACAGAAGTAGGAATAACTTGAGAATGCAGCAGAGAAAGGAATGTAGTGGGATCTAAACTTTAACCGTCTAAACACTTAGGAGTATTTCTTTGTTTATTTGTTTCAGCTGAGATGCTCACATAATACTGAATTTCTCTATACAAGTTAAATTCAGGAAAGATCCTGGCATGTCCAATGTCAAAAACATTTTGCTAGGAATAATCGGCTCAGAATTTATAAAAGCATTTGTAAAAGAATAGAAAGCTTTATACAAAGATATTAAAACTGAGAAGATCATATTGAAAAGCTGTGTGCAACGAGTAGTGGAGGCTAATTGGGATTTTAGAGATCCAAAGGCAAGAGATGTATACCATGACCTTGTGAAAAGAGCACATGGCATAAGAAATATACGTTCCACTTTTATTCGTGCAGCATTTTTGCTTGGAATGGCATTTTAAACATTCTTGGATTTAGTCTTCAGATTTTGCCCACCAATCTAGAATAAATAAACTACTTTAAGGATTCCTCTGAGGGTTTTACATTTTCTACACATGAAAATATAAGTGACTCTATAAAAATGATTGAAACTTATTACATAAAAATGATTGAATCTTATTACATGGTATATTTTTCACTGAAGGCATTTGAAATCCTTCATTGCCGAAGATTTTTTAAAATCCTTCATTTTACATTATTTGGCTTGCACCCTGCATAACCAGTGCAGCCTTCAAATATTTTGTTCCAAAGAGCAGCCAGAAAATAAAAGTGTTCATGACATAACACTATTTCCCAAAAGAGAAAACCATATTTGATATGCTCCCAAAATGTGTTTGATGGAAACATTGATACCAGTACATTCAGAAAGACTGAACATTACGCAAATCCATTAATTTAACCCTATTATGTCACTGTATACATCCACCCAAATAATTTCTTAGACTTTAAGACTGGCACCAATAAAAAAAATTGAAATCATCATTTTCGAAAATTTAAGTTGCTATGTTTTCTACTGACCAAGGCAAAAATAACAGCTACAAATTCCCCAGCCTGAGAGTACAAATAAACAAAGTGCAAAGAAAAAAGGAAGATATGTCTTTATAGCATCTACTTGCACAATTGTGCTTTCTGACAATCAATTCCTTCTTTTTTAAAAAAAAAAACATACACACATTACTAAGCATTTCTAATTTGGAGGAAAAAATGAAGTAATGATAACAGTGTGATCTACTTGGAGTTACACGTACAAAAATGTTTTCAGGCATATGATGCCCCTAAATCCTTAGTGTAATTTGTACCTTACACACACACACACACACACACACACACACACACACACACACACACAAAATGGTTCACAGTGTCTCCTTCACTGAGATCCTTACCAAAATCCATGAGAGATGTACATCGCCAATCATCTTCTAAAGAGCATAACCTCCATAATGAGCCTTCACTCACAAATGGACCACTTTGTGAGGTTATCCAGCCCCAACCAGCTAGTGAAATGATGCCAAAGATCATTGCTAAGCCCAGCAGAAGAGGCAAGATCCACCTGCAGCGGGTATAATCCAGACCATACTGAACCATCTTGCTGTTGGGTCTTTTCCAGTCACTTTAAATGCTAAGCAAAAAGATCTTTCTGCAATGGCTTTGGTAGCCTGAGGAAAAAAAACAGACTGGGGTAAATAAAATGTGTGTGAATGGAAAAGAGATAGATCTGTAGGGAAAAAGAAAGAAAGGAAAGCAGAGAGGAGAAAGCAGCTTTATGCTCCAAGCAGACCCTAAAGAAAACTCCACCTAAATCTCTATGAGCAAGTCACTACAACAACCTGTTGATCTGGAAAGAAAATTCAGGGTTGGGACTATGCTCATTTTAGAACCTGTCTCCTCCTTCTTTGTCAGCTACTAATTAAGATAAATGTAGATTATATCCATTTCCATTAGCATTTACTCTTTTCATGGCAGTAGCATTTCACAACAAACAGCACTGAAGTGCTTTTGAGGAGAGCAATGAAAGTTAAGAGCATATTTTTGGTGAATAAACTCTCCCCAGTCTTTAAAAAACAAGATATTGAACAAATTGTTGAGATTTTTCACTGCTTAGCTCTAGGAGTCTGAACAGCAAAATTCAAGATGAAAGCCCCATCTGGGCATCTGTACTGTGAAGTGATTTTTATTGCAAAGCAAAAAAAAAAGTTCTAATTTTGAATAGTCATATATCTCCAATGATAACTAAAAGCCGTATTAGCAGAAAAGGTGTAGCTTCTTGTGTTGTATGATTATGTGACATCAGATTGTACTATATCCCTAATCCTTCTTAGCAACATAAATACACCTCTAGGAAACATCCAGTGATAGGGATTTCATAGTTTCCACATCCTGTGGGGGGCATAGGACAGTTTTCTTGGGGCCTGGAACTATGATTCCCAGAACCCCTAGGCAGAATTCGCCATGCTCGGAGTTGTAGTTCCAACTCAGTGGGAAGGTACAAAATTGGAAACAGTGAAAATAAGCAGAGGCTATCATATCCAGGCTCCAAAAAGAAGACAGAAAATTCTAGTTCTTCATTGCTATCCAGTGATTGTCCAGAGTTTTGCAGCCCTGAGTTGTAAGCTTATTTACTCCTCAAGAGGGCTATATTTACAATGCGGGAGCTGGACTGAGAGCCACAAAGTAGATGTGACTACGGTAGGTTTGCTCATTTTATTTTAAAACAGAAGACAATATTCTAATGTTCATGCATTTCCCACATCAAAAGAGTGGAAATTTGTGACCATCAGAAGGTGGTTTGGGAGACATTGGTGTAACAAAAGGTGGCCTGCCCCTTTTCACTTTAGTAGTGTTGCATGCATGCACAAAAGGTGCATGATTTGGACTGGTAATGTCTTTTATTACCAGGTTAACAACTTTTATCTACCTGGCACAATGGAGAAGCTGCCTTCTAGGGAGAAGTAACAAGATCTTTTGCAATGAGAAAATATGGACAATACACAACATTCAGCAATTTTATTGCAAGCAAAGCTTTATTGATTCCAAGCAAATCACTCATTCTTCATATATACTCCATCAGCCCTCTCCACCAGGTTTACTAAACTTAATCATGAATTATTAGATAAGACAGCCAGGTTGCACGGTGAAGGGGTACACATTTTGGGGTCTTCCAAAAAGCCATATTTGCATATTCCTTGATGCTGATACAAAGTCTAGTGCAGGGGTCTCCAAACTTGGCAACTTTAAGACTTGCGGACTTCAACTCCCAGAAGTTGCCAAGTTTGGAGACCCCTGCACTAGTGTAATAACAAATTATTAATTTTCAGGTAGAAAACATCTAATAATGGAGCAGCTAGTTCACAGTCATCGTATCAGCTTTCCTACATTCACAATTGATTATTCAGATTTTGCTGTGGCCTCAAAATGGGATCATTTTGGCCTGTTTTATCAAAAGATGAAACCAACTGAGAGTACAGTGTGCTGGAAGGAATGATAGTGATATCAAAAATATTTGGTTTATGGAGTGTTTGTGCATGTCTGTAAATATTGCCTCTGTGCCTGATGCAAGTTTACAGGGCAGTTTTTATTGCTATCCTGTATAAAGGGGAAAGCAGGAAAAATGAATACAAAAACATGAGGTTTAGTTTGTTAAGCATGCCTCAGAAGGTATTTAATAGAATTATTCCTGAAACTTTTGCAAATGAGCAAAACTCATTTACACATAGCACAACACAGCTTTATACCACACAGAAAATGCTCTGATCAGGCTTCTATTTTTTGGCAATTCTTTGAGAAATTTCTGAATGTGAGAAAGTTATTTATTTGTATACCATTTTTATTATTTTTATAAAAACTCAAGGTTGTGACAATGTATTTTCCTCCTATTTTTCCCCCAGTAACAACTCTGTGAGGTGAGTTGGGTTGAGAGAGATTGACTGACCCAACTCACTTAGCCGGCTTTCATGGTTAAAGCACTGTCTCCTACGTTCTAGTCCAGTGCCTACCGCAAACTAGCTCTCAGGTTAGTTGTATATACCGTACTATTTTTTTTTAAAGTACACAATAAAAGTAATAAAGAGGAAGTATATGATGAAGTACATAAATTATGGAATATGTTGCATGAGTATGGAACTAAAAGCTAGATGCTGAATGTAGTAAGTGTGGTTTATGAGAAAAATAAAGCAGGCCTGAAGATAAATGGAATTCTTTGTGACATTGAACAGGAACAGGCCATAAAACAAGTTGTGTGATACTCATCAATGTTGTTTAATATATTTGTGGATAAATGCACTATATAAACATTACTTGGGGTGACATGGTTGGGAATGGTTGGGAATATGAATTATATGTACTTTTATATACAGCAGATGCTATGTTGAGGATATGATGTTATTAGATAAGAAGCCATATGATTTGTCAGAAATGTTAAATTGACTTTACGATGCAGTGAAAAGCAAAGGTCTGAAATTAATGAACTAGAAAATTAATGTACCAAAGACCAATGAACTGTGTTTGACAGGGAAACTGGATTGAATTATTATAAGATATCCATAATAGGCAGTGGTGCGATTCAAAAATTGTTACTACTGGTTCTGTGAGCGTGGCTTGGTGGGCGTGGTGTACCTTGGTGGGCGTGGCTTGGCAGGGAAAGGATACTGCAAAACCTCCATTCCCTCGCCACCCCACTAACCTGCTTCCCAGTTCAGTTCTCCTATACAGGGCAACAAAAGAAGACCCAGCCAATCAGCTGGGACTTGGGAGGCAGAGAATAGATGGGGTGGGGCCAGTCAAAGGTGTTATTTGCCGGTTCTCCAAACTACTCAAAATTTCCGCTACCAGTTTTCCAGAACTGGTCAGAACCTGCTGAATACCACCTCTGATAATAGGTGAAATCAAAGCAACTAGATGAATTTGTGGTCCATCTATTTCATTTCATTCTTTCTTACCACTGCGTCTCCTTCAATTACCTTTTGTGCCTGCAATGGAATGCCTCCTTCCCCCTGGCCACTGGTCACAACCCCCCCTGGCCATTTTCTCCCTGAATGCCAAGCTGCCGGCTATCTTGGGGAGGTTAAGTCTGGATACAAGGAAGAGCTTCCTAACTGACCCAGGATGCTTTGCAACGTAATGTATTTTCCTTCAATAGGAGGAATATAATTCTAATTCTTATTCTTCTAATAGTGGCTAGATGATCAGCTTTTCAAATGCTATAGGGAATGCTGACTAATTGCCCTCTAATCTTCCTTTTAATTCTGTGGTAACCATGTTTTTTTTTTTCTTGCAAACCCACCCCTTGGTTCCATATAACACAAAGGGCAAAGCATTTCTCATTTTTACTTTATTCCTTACCACACACTTCAACTGGTACTTGAAAGTCTTCAAATATCTTCATTTATTTTGCCATTGTAACAAGGTACACAAGTTCATCTATTTGCCCTTAGTTTTAAATATTGGTGTTGGAAAACAGTAGTTTTGAAGTAGAGAGGAAAGAGAAGGTTGTGTTTATGTTAGGCTGGTGGTGGATCCAAGACAAAACTATTCATTTATGTCTTTCAGAAACAAGGGGTAAGCTCAGCTGTATTCAGAGTGGTGCAACTTGACTGCTAATCAGCCTTATTAGTCAAAATTATTTGCCTGATTACAATTTTTTACCTTTTTAAAAAAATGACATTCTCCGAATCCATGTTGCTCCATCCACAGAATGTCCTGCTATGAGGATAGTTCCTCCTCTTTTGGGGGCAGAAGCCAAGAAGCCTGACCAGGGAGCTTCTGCCCATAAACATTTTCTTCATTCATTCCACCAGTCTGCCAGTTGTCCTTCAAGCAATGTAAACATACTATAATCTTTTCCTTTATTATTTTAATATGTACTTTTCCTTTTCAATCCCCAGGCTTTGAACTACAAGATTAACTTCTGTAGGGACCGGCAAGCAACAGTGTAAAATATATTATCTGATGGGAAGTTTAGCATGCCAATCATAATAGCAGCACCTTTAGCAGTATCGGTATCAAGACAAAATGGTGACAAAATAACACCGATGATCAGAAAATGGAGGCCGATTCCTTTTCCTTCTTGGTTATATCCATAATTATTTATCCTTTTCATACTACTAAGTTTATTCTGTGAAAGGTTTATGATTAAGGGTTTAGGAGGGATACCTATAAAATTTTTTCAGGCATATGGTAAAATTAGGTTGCAGGCATAAAAGCAGATGAGGTTCTGCTTGCTTTTTGTACTTCGACAATAGATCGACAAACAATTGTTGCAATAAGAGTTGCTAATTGAAACCTGTGTGTTCAAAGATACTTGACTGAAACCAGAATGTGAGACTTGTTTTCATCCAGCAAAATAATTACCAAGGATCTGATTTTCTTAAGAGTTTGCTTTCTTGATGTTGAAATAAACCATTTTTAATGCTGAACTGCTTTTAGAACATTTCATTTCTCTACTATTGTCCCCAGAGGCCTCAGCACATTTTTTTATGCAATGTAGGTCATTTGAGTAAAGAAAATAAGCTCAGTATAAAATCAATTTAAAAGCCATTCATACAGAAGGCTGAAAAGACCAGTATTTATAGCTCTCTTGAACATCTAATGTTATGATCTTTCCTATCTTGGTGAAGCATTGATATTAACTAGGCCAGGGATCTTCAACCTTGGCAACTTTTAAGATTTATGGACTTCAACTTCCAGAGTTGGAACTTCAACTCCCAACTCTGATAGTTGAAGTCCACAAGTCTTAAAGTTGGAGACCCCTGAACTAGGACATCACAACGACCTCCTTGCAGGATGAAGTCAATGAAAGAACAGGTGTTAAGTGATACCATTTTTTTAAAAAGTAT